AGCCAAAGTTGGCTTAGGTTTAATGGGTACCTACTAGCGCGTGTTGTTTTAATTCTGCTTCCAAAGGAAAATAAATGTATCTGGTGGAAATTAGGCTTTGAAAACTTTTTTCTTTTTTTCTTTTTCTTTTTTTTCCCTTTTAAGAGCCAATAAAATGGAGTACCTGCTCCTCAGGCAGTAATTTCTGATTTCAAGTTGGGGGGGGAAGTATTAATATTTAAAAAAAAAAGAAGAAAGAAAGAAAACTTATTTTTTTACCACATTTCAACCATCACATCGCCCCAAACCTCTTCTCCCACCTTCATTTCCCTCAGGTTCAGGGATTGGCAATGTCCCAGGACAGAGCTATTTTTTAACTGCTATTTTAAAGGTAAAGAAGAGGAGGAGAAGGGAATAAAAGCCCCTGAAGGCAACATACTATTTTCTATTTTTCCCTGTGCAGCCCCGCAGAGGGGAGTCCCGGGTCAGGGAGGGCTGTGGGCAGTTTTGGGAGCTGGCATTTGACTGATGGGGGGGGAGGTCTCCCTCTCCTGGGGTGGGCACCACCGCGGGAAGTAGATGGGTGGATGGATCAGTGGGTGGAGGGCACCCCTTGTCACCTCAGGGACAAGGACAACCCTTGCCTTCTTGGGCTGCTGCCAGGAGTCCTGAGCACCGTGGGGAAGGAGGAAGAGAGAAAGGAAAAGGAGGAAAGAGTGCCTCACAGACCTTACTCAACCGCCAGAATGGTTTCCTCCTGCTGCCCCATGCCCACAGCACCCTTTCAGCCAGAACTTATGGAGAGGCCACCTGCAGAGGCACACAGACACCAACCTGGCATCAGTGGTGCCTGCAAGGACCAGCAAAGAAATCAGTGCCTTCCATTTCCATCACACTTCCTTTCCCTTCACAGTAACGACCGGGTCTCCTTGTCCCCTCAGTGCATCCCAGGCCTCTCTCACTGGCAGTGAGTTTCCCTCCCTGGGAACAGGAGGGGAGGCTTTCCTCCTCTCTTCCAGGGGTGCAGGAAATGGAATGCAAAGTGGAAATGTCCTGCATGTAGGCATACAGCAAGCAGGAGAGAGGTCAGATATCCTCACTATGTCTGGAATTATTTCTTCACAAATTGAACCTGAAACTCCTGAATCTGTAACAACAAAGCCAATAGCACCATAAGGTGCTGCTCAGAACGTCTTCAGAAATGCAGGAGGCCTGATTCCTAAAGATGTTGCAGGTGCCCACTGCCTCCTGGCATCATTTGAACTTGATCATCCTGGTGAGATGGAGGAGTACTAAATGCCTCTGCTACCTTCTTGGAATGCTCTAATTTAAAGTGTGAATCCACATAGCTTATAGTTTTATTCCCATTTCTGCTACCACTGCTAATGTTACTGTGGTATCAAGCACATGCATCAATTAGGAATTTTCCAAAGTGAAGTTTGCTAAAGATTCAAACATTGTCCCTGTGTGAGACATGCCTGCAATAGCCTAGAATTTATGGGACACATGTTCATGCTGCTGGAAAGACCTGGTCTAGACTTCCTGACACCTGGCTTCATTCCTGGCTTGCTTTTACAGTAGTCAGTAGTCCCTGATATGCATCAGTGTTTATGCAGGTCTGGTACACTGTGGGATGTCACTGGAAATGCTTTATGTGTAAAAATGCAGCTCAGGCAGGCAGTAGTACACGTATTGCTGCAAATCTGACCATCACTGACAGCTCTGTCTCCAGTTTTGTCACCCAAAGGCCTGTGGTTGGATAATACAGAATTAAGTACTTGCAGTGAGGGAGAAAACAGCAGCAGAAGATGTGCAAGGGCTGTACAGTGAACAAAATCACTTCTATCCTCTTCAATCATCAACACTTGGGCTGTCAGGGAAGGGCTTGTGTTTTACTTTAAGGTGCTGAAAGAAGGTCCCCCAGGTCTGTGGTACTCAGAGTGCAGGGAAGAGCTGTGTTTTCTGCCCATGAGATGCCCGAGAAGGAGCTCACCCTGCAGAGGCTGCCCATCGCTGTCACATCTCGACCTCAGCACTTGCGTGACTGCTGGGGTACTCACAGAAGCCTACCTGTTCCTTTGAAAGCATTCAGGCACTTTCAGCTCTGCATCGTGACACTTTACTCACAGACTACTTAAAATACATAGTAGGCATAGACATCTATTGCTTCCTTTAGAGTCAGTTTTGAAAAAGCAGCTCCTCCTGAAAGAAAAGGCCAGTCCTGTACTAAAGGCAAAATCTCTACTGGTGCAGGTCTAAGATTTCCCAAGGAGTTACAAAATCCACAGGTGAACTGGATTAGCTGACTTCATACAGATTATTTGGTGTCTAATACTCCATTTGATACTAAGGATATGTCCAATTTATAGAAAAAGGCACACAGTAAGTTCAGTAATAAACTTAAATTTGTCTCTACATTGTAGCTCTATTAGGCATTTCTTTCTTTAACTATTAACTAGCATTTGTGAGAGTGAGTATGTGAGGGCAATGTGTACAGTGAACGTTTGCTATCAAAGCCAAGGGAAATAAGTGTGTCTTTGTGCCTAGGTTCTCCTGGAGCACGCATGTTCCCAACTATAGGCAGACAGAGAAAATTGGAAGGCTGTCCCATTTCACGTGGAGGGGAGATGTAAAGATCTATGCTTGGTTCCTGGCCTTGCTCCCCCATTACTGACATCAGTTTGTGTCAAGTTTACCAAAAATCCCTGCTGCTGTGACACTCCATTTGAGAGGCGGGGGGGAAAGGATAATAAACTTTTTTTTAATTGCTTCCCTGGCTATAAATTAGTATGCATTGGGCTATTTTTTTTTTCCATGAACAAAAGCACAATTGACAGCGAGGCTTAGGGAAAGTAGGGAGGGAGCTCTGAGCCTCAAGGCTCCCCTGCGTATTGAACCTGAGCAGGGGGAGGCCTTGTCTGTGCCCAGAAGTTGAAGGGCACTGAGAGCTACAGCAAAACAATGGGGATTTTTATGTTTCACTGACTGTTTTTGCAGCTGCATCTTTCCCCCTCCTCTTCTCCCCCCACACTATTTCATGTGAGAACCAAGTATGAAAATAGAAGCCATGGCTTTCCCTCCTGCCACAGCCAGTGCACAGAAAATGGGGCCAGAAATCACAAGATCTGAAGTTAGTTATAAGTCACTGTTACAGACAAAAGCAGAAATTGTTTTGTGCTTCTACAACATATTTTGTTTCTGTTATCACAAGCATAAAGACAGGGCTGAAGCCCACCAACTGCACTGCAGGTTCAACGCGATCATCTTCGCATCCCTGAGGTTCCCGATGACATCTGGGGAGGAGCTGGCAGAACCCACTGAGTTCTGCCTCTACAGCTTCCCCTCCATGCACATCTCCCATTCAGCTTTAGAATATCTGATAACCATCTCTTCCATGGTAAAAGCTCATATAAGCTGATTTTTCTCTGGAGCTGTATGTGGAAGCCCTTATGCTACTTCTCTGGTGCATCCAGTGACCAACCTGAAAAAGAAACAACTACAAGAAGTAGACAGGTATGGACCAGAAGTTGCAGAGGAAGTGTTAGCAGAGATGCAGCCTTAGATGTAGGGAAATAACGGTGGGGTCTGACTGAGAAATGTCTGAGGGATGGGGATAGAGAGGGCAGATGCACGCCCATCCTCTCATACTCTGCAGTGGAGTCACCCATTCTTCTTGGCATCCGTAGGCAAAAGGATAGGCAGAAATCAGTTTAATTTGCAGCAAAGGGAAGTGTGAACATCTTCATTGTTTTGTAAAACAAAAAAGATGTCTAATTGCACAATGAGATAAGTCACTAAAGGAAAAATATGAGGTTTCTTTAAAGCAGGCTAGGTAAGCATCTGCTATAGGGCCTTCATGAGGGGTGTGGACTAGATGAACCCTGAGGTCTTTTCTAGTCATTTTTTTATGCTACAGCATTTTTTTTTAGTGCTATAAAATATACAGAGATGCAACAAAAAATGAGAGGAAGAGGAACAAGCAAAGAATAGGAAACTCACTTTCCTACCTCTATACTTTGTTAAGCTGTATTTGCACCTTATCCTCCAGCCTAAGCATCTACACCAATGAACATGTTCCCCCTTTGAAAAATTCATTTTCTCTTTCTGTCTTTCTCTTTCTTTCTTCCCCTCTTCCTCTCCCTGTCCGTCCCGTCCCCGTCCCCCCCCCAATCAGGAAGGCCTGCAACACTGCTATTTAGAGAGATGAAAAAGTCTTTATATTTTCATGGAGCCTTCCTGACTACTTCCATGTTCTTCTTAACTCAGTGCACCTTTGACTCAGGAAGCAAAGATACCCAACTATGGTGGGCTGGAAAACCAGGGGGATGGTCTTCTGAACAGACAGGTACCCTGCTTCATCCACCATGCATTCACCTGCAGAGGTGGTCTGTCTCCTGAGGCACTCTCCCCTACCATTTATAAGAAGCCACGTGTGAAGGGCCTTCTCCCATATGCGCATCAACCCCTATTCCAGTCAGAAAGCCCAGTAGATGCTAAAGGTGTAACTGGGCAGTTGTGACTCCCAAGGTATGTTTCCTAACAGGTACCGATTTTATGCATCAGAAACACAGCAATGAATCCAGAGCATCAACTCTGTCATGTTAAGGCACACTCCTCCTGCTGCTGCTCATGTTCTGACAAGGTTTATACCCTTTAAAACCTTTTTTTTTTTGAAGTTTGCATCTTATTTTAAAATAAATTTCCCCCAGATGCAAAATCATCTCCAAGAGGCAAATAATTTTTTTCATTGTATTAGAGAACATTTGCAAAAATCATTGCAATTCTCGTATTTGAATCAATTTCAGACTAGTGTAATGTTATCTGAGGCTGTCGGGCGTTTTTTGGTATTATTTTGGGTGATTTTTAAAGTGGTGCATTCTCTGCTGTTGTAATTGAATTGTCTGAAACATCTTGTTTGCAGAGCTGTGAAATATTTTAAAGGCATCAATTGAAATGATGAGGCATTGTCCAAATTGAAATTTATTTCATCCAAATCTGCCCAGCCACGTACAACCTGAATTGTATTTGAAATTAAATCTCTGCATTAAAATCTGCATTGCTGAGCCTCCCGCTGGCAGCCACCGTTCTTCGGAAAACTGACATCTTCCCTGGCACTGATGGGGCAGGAGTTCTCGTGTGGATATTACCAATTTCCTACCACTCTTCGAGTATCGGGACTTTATGGCAATATATAACTAAGAAGTACAAAGGCTGCGAGGTGTGTGAGGAATACAGGAGGGGGCCACCTCGGGTTTAGTAAGGATAGATGTTTTTGTCTTGACACACAAGGGTGGAAACCATTTTACAAACCTCTATTAAAGCAGCATATTGCTGATGTCACAAATTATGTCATTTTTCAGCAAGCTGTTAGGTAGCAGCAGGATACTTAGAGGTCCCAATCTGAGTTCACAGCTTGAGGCCTCATCATCCATTGAAGTCAAGAAAATACTCCAGTCCCCTGGCCCTCTGTTTACAAATAATATATCAAGAATCAGGATGCCCACAAATGAACTTTCAGGCACTGAGCTAAAGGAAATGCATCTCTGTGTATTTTTTTTAATATATATGCATGTGTACATGTTACACATTTGTCCATATGTGTGTTTATGTGCATTTGTGTGTAGTACAATTGAATTCCACAGTTTGCCATTAGATTTTTTTAAACAAGCATTGTTTTTATTCCTTGAAATACAGACCTGATTCTTCATGACTAATTTTGCACACAGAATCCCCACCAAAGCTGGAGATATCCACATAGAAAAGGGGCATAAAGTGCTCCCATTCATTTCTCCTTCTTAAAATAGTGAGGGGGTTTGTTTTAATACCTGGTACTTCTATAATATAAAAGAGCTCTGTTTAATAAGATACACATAAAAACAGATTTATCTATAACAGAGTTGAGTACAAAATAAAATAACAGGAATGTCTATGCACATATTCACTGGTACAGCAGAATAGCTTGTTAGAGGCTCTCGGCATCTCCTGGATGAACCATATTTACACATATATGTGTATTTTCCCCCACTAGAGTGGAATAAGCTATCATGTTTTTCTAACAACGCACATATACCTGGAAGACGACGGCCTACATTAGAAGACATAAAATACATAGCATGTGGCCTGAGGTTGTGAAACAACCCAAGAGAAGGAATTAAATTCAAAGCTAACGGTGCCAAACTCATCAGTGAGTGTTTTTACCCCCCTGTGTATTAGTGGGAGCCAAAGATGAGTGTCAAGGCACAGCTTTGAATTCCCTGACTTTTGCCAGTGTTAACATCACTCCCTTAACAGAATGAGGGTATTGGCAGGGATTTGGATTAGATGGCCAAGCAAGGCATTTGTATTCCCACACTCACTCCCTAAACTGATTCCAGTATTTTGCTACTCATTTACTGACATGGTTGGCTGTAACTTCCTCTACTGCAAATGGTATTACAGGGCTGGATTAGCTTCTCCTCTATAGCATATCCCTGATGTAGTTGCCACTGCAACTCTCCCCCACTATCTGTACAATAAATGCCATTGCTTACAGAAACATGATTACAGGATTAGAGTTATTGGGCCTTCACCCAGACAAACACAGTGACATAGCATAGCACTGGCACCTCTGAAAGCTGCACTGACCTCAGGCATCTCTACATCAAAGGCCACGGCCACAATCTGAGCTTCATTAGCTTTCAAGCCTGAAGTTACAGGAGCACTACTTCCTCAGCCGCTAATGGGAAACACTCTCCTCCATTTGCTGTTGAGGTGTTAAAAGTTCCTCTTAACATCAGTTACTGAGCTACAGCTTCACTGGTATCCCAGTAAAATAAAAATGACTTGTGGTGTGGGAGCTGAGTTCAAATCAAAATGCTGTGTTGGACATCCCTTATTCAAGAAAATAGCAGACACTGGTGCAGGGGTGCTTTGGAAGTGAGGACTACAGGGGGAGGCGCAATCCCAAATCCCAGACTTGGAGCTATAGGAAAATTCCTGCAGCTCCTGAAGGGTTTCATATGGTTGTAACTGACTGTTTAACGACTTAGGTATCTGAAGGATGCTCTGGTTTTCATTTGTAGGATGTGATGCAGATGATGATGCAGAGAGGGAGAGCTTGGAGCTGGCTGCGGTTCAGAGCGCGTGCACCATCGGGTCTGCACTCACTGTGAGAAACCTGTGAATTGTGCTGAGAACTCTTCCAAGCCCCCCCCCTTGCTGATCTGCACCTACAAGGAGGAGACTCAGGTGCCAGCATTTAATCCCACAGAGAGACAAGCTAGTCAGAGAAAGAGCCACAAGGTGGCAAAGCACTAGGTAGGATCAAATAGAAGTTTTGCTCCTAGCATAAACTTTCTGCATGGAAATGTCTTTTAAATTGTGGTGCACCTCAGTTCCTTCATACACAGCTGAAACATTAGTAATTCCTCTGTTCTGTCTAGATGATGCATTCTGGTACACAGGTCACCACCATGTTTGGAGAGTCCTAGCATACTCATTTGGGTCTTGAGTTCATTATCCTAATTGAATAGTAATATACAAAGGATGTGGCTTCATCATCAACTTGCACAAAGAAGCCAGCTAGGTAGCTAGGTAGCATGGAGGAAGTCCTAAAGTTTCTTCTCCATAAGAGTGTGAGAGAAATACCTATTCCGTGAAAATACTTGAGAATGGTAGGACATAGTCCATCGTGGTGAGCCCAGAGAACTAGGAAATGGCTTTATATGAGAATGAAATGGCTGAAATATATCATTTGTGTTAAAAGACCTCAATAACACTGAAAAAAAAAAGTAGAAGAGAGGCAGAGGGCTCTCTTCTGAACAGAGAGCTCTCTTCTGAACAGGGTTGAACCCTTTGCTTTCCTTTCTTCGGTCCAAGTAGCCTTCTATGCTGCTTTGTCTATGGAATTTTCATTTTCATTTTTAAGCTGGCATGGAATAAAGTGGTTTGCTTATGAGTCTCCAGACTGAGACAACTGGATAAGATGGGCTGGTCAGGTGCTGCTAGGGATAAGGCTAAGGAATTACAAGGCTGGCCTCTGGAGCTAAGCTGCGCCTTCTCTTCAGGAGGTAGGATACTTCCCCAGGTCTGAGGAGCTCCTTGAGGCTGGAAGATTTAGTGGACTCAGGTATTAGCAGGATCACATCTCAGCTCCAGAGTTTTTCTCCAGCTTGCATTTTTAATAAAGCTCAGAAGCTGAAGCTTCAGCTGGCGAGTTTAACTTAATCTCTTGGGTTTGTTCTGTCCTAAGCAGCCTGTTCATATTGTCAGAGCTCATTGCAGTTTCTCAAGATTTAGGCTGGGTTAGGAACTAAGGCATGATTAGAAACCAGAGTAAGAAGAATTCAGCTGATTTTCAGCTAAGCACCTTTTCACCACAAAGAGAGATTTACAAAAAGGCATTTATTTCCTAGGAAGTTGTCACTGGATTTCCTTTTAAATTAAATTACCATCACTCAAAGAAATAGGAAATTCCTCTTTATGTGTGCATTTTTCATGTATTACTGATTCTTTCCAGGCTTTCCCTTTGCCGCATGCTCAGGGCAGTGACCCCCATCTCAGGCACTGCAACAGCTCTGTGACCAGCAACGGTTTAAGTGTTGTAGCAGCCACTGCTGCTATAGCAGAAATCCAAGCCCTTCACTTTGCAAACTCAGGAAGCCTGTGATGTTAATTAGAAGCACTCATTCCCTTTACTGAGTAAAACCAGGGGTGGTGTGTAGGCATAGGTTGACCCAGGGAGGAGAAAGAGGACTTTTCTCCTTGTCAGCACCAGCAGCTGCAGCCCTTACTGTTACTTCACATGACACAAATGCAGCTCTACAGTCAATTCCATTTCCACTTCCCATTTCCATTATTTTCTCATCTGCCTCTCACTCTGGACCAGGGCAGCCTGTAGAGTGTGGTAGAGTAAGTGGACACAAGAAGGGATGACAGTGGTATTGTGGTTCAGGTGAGAGTGTTGCCTTTTAAAGCTGTCATGTTCTATAGAAGTGATTTACACAAATCTTTTACGTGACTCTCCTATTGTCACTAACGATTATTACCATAACAATTTCAAGGTGGTCAAGGCTCTTTGGGAGGATCTAATCCAAAGCCTAGAAAGGCTGACAGGAATTTTAAACACAAAGTTTAAAAGACCCAGAAATGCAGATTCTAAGAATGTGTTTAAATAAGAAAATAAAATGAGGGAAGAAAACAGCTTCTCTCTTCCTCTGGCTTGCCAGCATGCTTTGACAGAAAACAGGGATGTGATCTCAGGAACACTTGCTCCAGCCTCCTGTTCATCAGTAGCAGGAAGGCCTGTCAAACCTGTCAAGCTCCTTGAGCTCCTGGGGTTTACAGACTTCTCTCAGCAACCCCAAGCAAAACCACAATCCCATAAAGAAGCCTTTTCAGTAAAACCTTCTGCCATTTGCCTGAAGCCAACAAACCACTCGTTTATAGAAAAAAAAAATCTATTTCTCATTTGGAAACATCCCTTCCCCCCGTGCTTGCTCTCTCCTGGTGAAGCCCCAAGCCATGGCCTTGAGGGAGCAGTTTTCTACTGAAACCTGCCACTGCAGGGTATGTCAGAGCCCAAAATCTGCAGTCCATGCAGAGACCAAAGTCTTACAGGTCCAAGGAGAGCCTGCCTTGAGTAAAGACTGAAGAAACAGCCACCTGGCTTCTGTCAGAGCTCAAGGTCAGTGTAGGACTGCTTGCACTCAATCCTGTCCCTCTTGGTACTACTTTTCTAAGCTGCTTGGCTCCAGCTAGCTGCTAAGGTGTGCATCCCATACTATTTGATGAAAGGTCTAGAAGAGACACCCAGGCTGTCTGGTCTTTGCCCTTCCTTTCATTCCCCACATTGCCTCATCCCCTCCCAGCAAGCTGCTGCAAAATAAAAGCTCTCAGATCATGGCCACCAGTCCCAGCCTTTGCCCTCGTGCTCACGGAAAACGGCAGTGCCACTGATCCAAGACTCCAACTGGCCCCAGCAAGAACCTCTGCAGTTCTAGGGACCAGTGCTAGGTGATGGTGTCTGATACAGTGATAGAAAAAGTCATAGCCCCAAAGGAAGAGGGCAGATGGGAAGCAGCAGCCACTTTCGGAGGCATTATTGGATTTATTTGAGTTGCAGGGGTGCATTCTGTCCTGAGTGATATGCCTAACTATGGGTTTGCCAGCTATTTTTCAACATCACTTTGGGCTTGACCCAACTGGCATATGTCTTTAGCAATTATCTGACTAGCTAAATGTCAAACCACATACCTTGATTTGTAGGTGGCGGATCAGAGCACAAGACACCATCATTTTTTCACGTACTTGCTAGGAGTAACAGAATCATACTCAAAGTCCATAATAGCAGAACCATACCAACACCATAATAAGCAAATGCATGATTTCCTAATGTGAGCAAAAAGTGGCAACTTCAAGCTGCAGTTTATTCACAATATGGGAGACATGCTCTGGCAAGAGTTAAGCAGTCATCAATACACGTATCCTAAGGGCAGAAGTATAGCAGAAGCAAAAGTCTGTTGATAACACAGTAAACAACAACATCATGAAGACTGAAGCAAAACATAAAACATACCCTAAAATACAGGTTTTCAAAGCTGGCACTTAGCCTATGCTGTGAGCTGAAATTCTGTTTCATTTTATATCTATTTTAACTTAGCATGCAAAAATACACCTATAGCCACCTGAATCAATGCTTGAAAACCACAAACCATATTTAAGGTTTAGTTTTCCAAGATGTATTCATGTAAGGCAAAGAGGGATTTTTTCTACATCCTAAGAATTAGCTACAGACTGTTCAGCAGAGGCTGCAATGTTCATACTACGTGAAAAAGAAAAGGTGTATTGTCAATATTAACTTGCTCTTCTCCAGAGTGCAAAATATAAAAGCAAATTGAAAGGGAGAGCAGAAGAATCTGACTCACTTCCTTAAGACCCAGAGCTGCTGACTCCATAAGCAGGCCCCTTAAGAGATGCAAGTAGAAATATGACAGACATCACGAATTAATCTCCAGTTCATTACCCAAGGTCCCATGGATTGGGACTTCTCCACAGAAAAGGGACAGAATACATGTTTCAAGATAAGATGCATCACAACCATGGATTTTATCCAGAAATGGTGCATAAACCTATATGTTAAAAATCAGATACAACTACTATACTTGTTGATTTCCTGTATGTACATATATGAAAGAATATGAATGTAGCAAGAACAACTGATAAGGTGCACTGACAAAAAATTGTTGCTAGCCTTTAATCTCTTTTCCCTTATGTTTTATGGTTTTCTTATTTAAGAACAGCTGTAGTTCAGGAGGAATAATGGCCACCAAGCCAAGAATCCTGTCTCCAAGGGTGCATGTGCTTGATGCCTAATGAAAAGGATAAGGGCATGCACTGACACTTCCAATGCACCTCTACAGCCCGCTCACCTCCTCCGTCTGTAAGGGGCAGTGAGATGCCTCAGCTCATTGCACCACCTCAGACGCTGCACCAGCAGCCATCTTTATTTTGTAAGGATGAGAGAGCCCTTACAAAAAGTGTGCAAAACTGGCAATCAGGACATCTATCCATTTACTTGTTTCCCAAGCAAATAAGATGAGTAGTCGCTCAGGCACAACCATGTGGAAGTCAGTGCTTTGGATGTTAAGTCATGTTTTTCAGTATATCTGGGCTTGAAAAATGCAGAGAAGAGTGGGAAAAGGTGTCACAGTTAACATAAAATGAACCATGTCCTCAAAAATGTATTTATGAGAAGAAAAATAGCCAGTACTTTGCCTCAGGTTCATGCACAATGTACTAATACAGGGGTGACATACAACTGGATTGGGGGAGGCAGAACAGATCTCAGGACTGTTCACTTTGCCTGGGAAAGAGTTGTCAGGATACACAAAACCAATGCATGCCTGAGGCAGCCATGTTGGCTTCTGCTCCACTGGAAAGGGAAATGTTTGCCACATGGAAGCAGAAAACATTGGCAGGAAAATAACTTTAATTTCCAAATTTTAAAGAGGAGTATTGCAAGCAGGAAGGAAAAAAAAAAAAGGAGCAGGGAGAGGGAGGAGGATAGCAATAACATTCACCTGGACTCTCTGATTTCACCTTCAGGGTCTGACCCTATGATGGGTATGTTTGAAACTAATTTATTTGTGAAAGAGACCCTAAAGGTAACTTTTGAACACAAGATAGGGAAAAAGCAGGTGCACCCACTGCCTGTGGGCTGGGATGAGGATGAGCAAGGACTCCTTGGAGGAAGACAACACAGCTCACCCATACCACTTAGCAGCACAGAGACCTGGCTGTTTACAGATTTATATGGCAACTTATATACATATATACTGGGAAAAGGCAGTGTAAGAAGCCTCAGATGTAACGCTCTGCAAATGTACATCCTTCTACATTTCTTCTGGTGTCAGCCCTGTGTCAGCTTAGGACCCAGGAGAAAGATAAAAAGCATATTTACGTCTAGCTAGTGCCATGAGAGACTGACAAAAGCTTATGAGACATTTTGTCTGATCTACAGCCTTCCACGCCTGTTGTCATTTGCCTCCTGAGCCTAATGGAAACCTGCCCTGGATGGTATGCTCGTTGTTATTGTTTCAATTTCCTTGTCTTTTATTTATTTCCCTTGCTCTCAAGCGCCATTCGATGGTCCCATTACTTCCTGCTGACCAGGGAAAACTATGAGAACAAATAGTTACAGTGGATTAAAATACACACACTATCACAAGAAAAACAGAGGGAAGGGGGCAGGGGGCTTGCTTAGCAAAGAGTGGTGGAAGTCGTGGGACAGAGAGCTGCCAGAAATACTGAAGTGGGGTTTTATGTCAAGACTCATTTGAGACTTGATCTCTGCAAGGAACAGAGCTTCTGAATTCTTCCCATGATGGTATTGCAACATGAACCTGCATATATTGAATCAGCTCAGTGTTTCCTTTGGATTTTAAATAGAAGTTTGTTTGAAAAAAGTGCAAATGACAGTCCTTGGCAGTATGAATTCTCCTAACCGTGCTGAAGGAGGAGCTGGTCACAGCAGAAAGAGGAAAGCTTGCACACAGCAAGCATCAAAGGTGCTACATTGACCATCATCTTCAAGGAAGACAAGAAGTTTGCTAAAATGATGGGCATCATTAGCCCCCCATCTCTAGGGCAAATGAACCCTGTGGTCCAAGCTTGACCCAGGCTACGGCAGATTGTATCTACTGTATTTGGAAATTTTCCTTTCTAGCATCTGTTAAAAAAATTATTAGCAGGTGCTGAAAACTGCAGCCTCCAACCCAGAGACCTGGAGCCAAAATACCAGAGGGGAAAAAGTCAGCTCTTGACAACCGCCTGACTCCAGGCTTGGACAAGCCAGAGAGACAATCTGCTGCTAGGGGAGATGCCAGATCAGAGGAGGGAAGTGGTAGCACCTCGTGCAATTAGGCTGTTTTTTTCTTTTTATTTTCTTTTTTTTTTTTTTTTGGAGCTACAAGTGGCAAGGGCCAATTCCTTGTCTCTGTGAAGTTATAATCCTGGTGATCCCCTCTGGTGCCATTAAAGAGTTAGACCTGATCAAAACAGGTTAGGCTGTTACTTGTGCAACACCCAGAATAACAAACTGAAGTCATTTAACATTTGCTGTGTAAATGGCACTCCGCTATGTATGTATATCCCAGTGAACACAAGAGAATAAATTCTTACATGCCATGTAATTACACACACACTCATGTAAAAATGAGCTGATGTAAAATAAATATGCATATAGCTATGCCTATGCCTATTCCAGCCCCTAATACAGCGTTATTGCATTGCCAATGTGTTGACATAAAAATGCAGTTTTATGTATTACATCTAAATAGAAATGTGTGAAAAGGGGTTTTGTTTTGGCTACAGACCAGTCTCTTAATATAATTATAATTTTTACTACTACTGCTACTACTACTGCCACAGTGAATTGGGAGCCCCCTTGGTTCTACCCATGGTACAAACAGCAAGAACAAGCCTGACCTAAAAAGACAGGAGAGATGAAAGAGGGAGAGAGGCAGTGTGATTTCTCCAAGCTGGATTAACAGGACAGAATATGCATGTAGGATTCACCTCTCTTAAATTCCATTTCTCAGTGTGGCCTCGGCCCTCCCTGCTACTATTTCATACATGGCTTTCCTAAGGAAGGCAAGAGGGAAAAAGGTACTTTACTGATGCAATGAGGAGAGTGGATTGTTACAATCAGGGTGACTCTGCTCAGCATTTTGCAGCAGAGCTGGAGGGAACTAGCAGTCCAGGCTGTCCTGGGTGGCCAGGGCTGGTGACCAGTGGCCATGGCCATGATATCTGCTGCTGGACAGTTTCCCCATGACACTGCAGGCCACTGTAGCAGGTTGATCAGGTCACAGACATGCTGCTAAATATGTAGAGGTAGGAGCCAAGCAATCATGTCTTTTCCCTTTCCTAACTTGCCTGCCTCTATTATGGCTATAGCACAAGACGTTGTGCTGTGCTTCAGCCTGAAAAATCAGAACCATGTCTCTCGTGCTCACTCTTTGACAGTTGTCAATCTAGAAGAGTTTTTAAAAAACCTCTCCAAAGACAAAACAATGCTCCTTTGAGTGCCATTAGATGTTTCCCAGATCTCTTGTCACTTCATGCTGGGGTCTGTTGGGTGCTTTATGAAAAAGCCTCTAAAAGTGCCGCTTTCTTTCCAAGAAAGGCTCACAGCCCGCGCAGTTGGGAAGCATCCTCACCGTGGCCATTGCTCTATACCAACATGATTGTTCAGAGGTTGCTGTTTTCTGCCAGCGCTGGGGCTCGGAAGATGAAATAAAACAAAATGAGAGCATCTTTCCCTGCCCCTCTGGAAAGAAACATTTTGAGAGGAAGGGGCAGAAAACGCAACACGAGTCTACTCAGCAAATGGCAGCCTGCTCACAAGGACTACGAAAGCTGTTTGCCAGGAGGCCAAATGGATTGCCTGCAGCTCCAAGAAAAGAGATACTATTTGGTGCTTAAAATCATGTAAAGAAAACAAAGGATGACTGCTACATGCCTGCCCATGATAGTCTGGAGCACTGCACTGTTGTGGGATATTTATGCCAAACAAATGGCAGCAAAATACCAGCGCATCGATCAGGGCGAGCTGGTTGTGCACAGGCATGCCTGCGGGACCAGCCTCCAACAGCTCACCATGCGTTAGTAACGCATCGAACCCTGAGGAAGGAAGGACATCGTTCTCATTATCTCCATTTGCAGGTGTTGAAAGGGAGGTTGGGGAGATTTGCCACCCAGGGCATGTCAGAGCTGGGATTAGTGGTTATGGGTCCCAGCTCTCAGCCCCGTGCATAGACCATGCCTCTTGGAACAGATTTTGGGGTAGATTTTTATTTCTCTGACACAGAAGAGAACAAAAGAACACCTTGCAGCTTCCACTAAGGGAATTATTTCTTCCTACCAATGGGGTGTTAATTTGTCTTAAGGGCACTGTGAGGATTAACCAAATTAGAAATCCACATTGTCAATTAAAATTTACTATTGTCCCAAAGAGACCCAAATAAAATATAGGCTTTCTCAAGCAAGAATAACCATGTCTGCAACAAGAAGCATCATTTAGGAGGAAGTCCTTTAAATGATCCTCTGCTTTCAGTCTACGTCCATATAGGCACATACACAAGTCATTTGCACATGTACAACCAAAAAAACACGCTTTGGTCTACACTCCCTCCAAATACTGCTCTCGTTTCAGACTTTCTTTTTTCCAGGTATCCAGCATCAATCCTGCTCTGAACCCCTTCAATGTCAGGAGGAGCATGAACATTTCCTACCTCATTACTGCCTTTCAAAAACAGCCACAACCACAAAAACAAGACCTTGGGGAAGAAGACAGGAGAGGAGAAAATCTCTGCATGCACAAGCAGAGCCCCACCTGCCAGTTATCTTCCCTCCTTTGTGCTTTGAAGAGGCATCTCACCTCTTACAAGGGAAACAAGTTTGTCGTGTCAGTAGTTGTGTCCATGCTACCCTCACCTCCGCTGAGGTGATGACACTTTAGGCCTGGCACTCCCTCCTGGCACTTTCCTGCTACAGAAAGATTATCAGTCCTGAGCCAGACTGACTCCCTGGCATCCCTGGTCCCTCCCAAGTCCCACATCTCCCAAACCATCCTTCAAGAATGCAGTGCTGAGGAGATGGCTAGACAGTAGTGACTAGACCATGACAGCAATGTGAGTTTATAACCTGACAACAGAGATTTGACTCTGAAATGGAGTGGATCCCATTATAATCTCTGCACTCAAAGGCAGACTTGAGGTTTAAATAATCTTTGATTGCAGGATAACATCCTGAGTGTATTTTAGCTTTACTGAATTTTAGTATACGATCTGTTCCTGACCTTTCTCAGCTGTGAGAGGGAGATGCTCTCCTATGGCCCTGCTTGCTGCTTTAACGCCGCCTCAGTTAATAACACCTGCTGGAGAGACAGCAGCATCTCTTGGCAAACTAAACCTGCACAGTCTCGGGAGTCAAAATCTGCATATGTATAGAGCGCGTAAGTAATTATTAATGCATAACACGTCCCCTCTGGTCATTTAAATAAATTATTGACACCAACGTCGCCAAGCAGTGAACCAGGTGCCACCCCAACTGTAGGTAAGTGTAAATTATCAGAGTGCTTGAAAAGCTCAAAACCTTCTGAAAGCAAAAGAAGACTCACGCAGCGCTGGTGGTAAAGACGTGTGCATGCACATACATGTCTGTGTATGTGCATTATGCATGTATGCACACTTTAATGTTTATACACCATCATGTTGTGATCTTAATCATTTGTTTTAAATGGATCCCTATAGCATCTATATGTGTACATCCAAGTTTTGCACTTGCCGTGCCAATTTTTATTTCCACATAACCTACAAATTGCTTCTGGAAAAGTGTAATCCTGGTTTTACCTCTGTATTTTAAAAATCATTTCCCTGTGTATTATCTCTTTGCAGCTTTATACATTTATGCTTTTACTCTCCAAATGCCTTGACTAGAATGCTATATCCCTGAACAGAAATATATTCCCCCCTGCTATTTTTCTGCAGGAGCCTGGTTCATTCAGAAACAAGGAAAAAAGTACAAATGATTGTTTTTAAATTCCCTGACATGCAGAGCTCAGACAAGCCACAGATGCAAATGTGGAAAGCAAATCTAGTGCTGGCATTATGAAATGGCTGAGTTCACTGCGCTCATAAGCCAGCACCTTTATTTAGGCATGGTTGTAAGCTGCCATTTTGATATAATCTCTGGTTTTCTGGACCAAGAACACTGAAGCTGGCATGATACATCTACCGCAGCCCCCCATAATACCCAGTCATAAATCAAGTGCCCTCTGTCAGTGCTGATCTACGCTTGCTCCAAGAGCTGGCAGCCACAGACAAGCCTGCACATCCATGTCACTGTCATCACACAAATCTATCCCTTTTGTCATACGGGAGCATCAGGGCTCTGTGCCAACCCAGCAAATGATACTGCTGCCCTCCATGAGTCAGGAACTTGGTGCTGGTGGGAGGCACCCTGAGATGGAAGGTGCCATGCTATGTTGGAGCAGTGCAAGGGTAGAAGTGGGGTCCTTTTCTTGGGAGGTGAAGGTGGCCCTCCTCAGAGGAGCAGGCAGAAGGTGATATCCAAGAGGCACGTCCCTCTCCCCTAGGGAGGTCACAAGGGATGCCTGAGGACCAGCATGGGCTTTTTGCACATTCATGGCCTTTCAGCATTATCCTTTCCAGCCCCACATCTGGGCTGTTTCTCTCCCTGGACAGCCAGAGAATGGGACACATGTTCCTCCCCACCCCTGTCCCTGACGGCTTGTCAGACCCAAGGGTCCTTTGGGGAGAAGGGATGCTGCAAGTGATGCTTCCAGTAGGGCAGCAGGTAAGATAGGCTTGACCTGGCCAGGAGAGCATAATTTGGATATTAGAAAAAATTTCTTCCCCAAAAGAGTGATCAGGTATTGGAACAGGCTTCAAAAGGAAATGGTGGAATCACCATCCCTAAAAAAACATGTAGATGAGGCCTTTAGTGACATGGTTTGGTGCTGGACTTGGCAGTGCTGAGAGAATGGCTGGACTTCATGATCTTAAAGGCCCTTTCCAACCTAGCTGATTCTATGATTCAGACCCATCTTTTCTGAAGCTCAGAACAATTTTTTTTAATAAAATCCTCTACTCCCCACTTTTAATTTTATTTAGATTGAAAACATGGGCAATGTTTCTTAGTTCCTCAACAGATGGGCAGCCAAGAAAGGGTGGAAGCAATGCCTTAACTCCTAGGAAACTTGGGACGCTACTTAGGTGGCGAAATAATAAAAACAAACCAAACACTACTAAACAGGCCACTCGTATAAAACTGTATCTGCCATTAAAGGGGACATTGCTGACACTCTGTGTCCTAGGCTCTGAGGTCATAAGGGGTTGGCTGTGTCCTTGGAGAGCTCAAGGGAGAAGGCAGCTGAATGCCAACAGCATTGCCTTGCTTTCAAAGTAGTTTTTCCTTTCCCTATATCCTGGAAAAATCTCTGTGGATTTTACTCTCCTAATGAGCATGATCTGAGGGTATTTGGATGAGGTCAGTGTTCGTGTGGAGGGGAGGGTTGGGTACCAGGTGTGTGTACATGCACGTGTTATCTGTGTCTGGTGGGTTTTCAGTTGCGATTGCAGAAATGGTCTTTCTTTAGGGAGAACACAAAGCAGAAGAGGAGCAGCCAAGAGGCAGATAAACTCACAGTGGCTTACAAAACAATGAATTTATGTGGCTATAAAATGCTGCTAAATCCTTAGCTTGCCAGCTCATGAACATCTTGGGGAACTGAAGCTAGCCACCTCCCTGTTTTACTACCACAGTGGAAGAGCTCTGCACCCACAGTTCCTTCTTGTATTTGGGTTTAGCATCTTGCCATTCCCTCTGATTTCTGTGTAAGAGCAGCCTGGTGCAAGATTGTATGCACCAAGCCCAAAGCTTCACCTCCAAGCACTGCCCAGCAGGCTCGTATCCTTCAGAAAACCCCAGCTGCCACCTGCAAGCACCAAACCCCGCAGGTTTGACAGGGGTTAAGGTTAAACTCAGCCCTGGGTTAGATTTCTCTAACCTCTGCAGAGTACACTAAATGGCAAAAATATCTGTCATGCAAGTGTTGCCAACTAGAGAATAGAAACCAAAGTCCTGATGAAATAAATGGCTGGGGGAAAGGTGTTTGCAAAATCCTGGGCTCCTTGCCCTGAGCCCTTGGTTGAGTGGTGGCAGAGCATAAAATAATCCAAGATTCCCAGGGTCTGCATAACACACAGTACCAAGGGAGACTTTTTCTGTGATGGAGGAAAGGGAAAAGAAGATTCAAGGGTTTTCCCCAGCAGTTAGGCTGTTGAAGCCAGCAGCTGGTGCTGCCCTGGCTAGCCACCAGCTAACTTGGAACCTGAAGAGCTGCTCTGAGCCGAACCTACCTCCCTGCCCTGCAAAAATGAGAACATAAAAGCTGAAAGGAAGCCCCCTAAGAAGGAAACTGGGCTGCAGTAGAGTCAAGGCAGGGAACCCTTACCCTCAGTCCGCCCTGGCCCTCAGCAAGCCAGGAACCAAGGCTGTCACCGAGGCTGTGCCTAAGCCTTGGGCTGGATTGGGTTGGTTTGTGTTTGGTTGTGGTTTTCAAAGAGAAATTTTGTGTCATTATGGAGAGTCTGCATTTTTTGTGGGATTCACATAGTCCTTAATTAGGTTTTATCTCTTAGCAGAATGAAAAGAGGGCTTTTATTTCATTTTACTTTGCCATTTTAATTTACTCCCGTTCCTGTTTAATAACTGGGAAGGGAAATGTTAAACAGCTACTGTAAAACTTTTGGTAGCATGGCCCCAACTTTCAAACACTATCTGCTGTCCAAGCTGGTGACAGTGGGTGTCTAGGGAGCCCCTTCCAGATTTGGGAAAGGGAAGAGCTGCCTGAATTTGCCCTGTTGAACCTCTTTTCCTCACTAATTCCCCCAGGAGGCAGCTTATTAAAGATGAAAAGGGTTGGCTGCGAGGGGGTGCAGCCCCCAGTAAATGGATATTAACTCCCTGCCAGCGATTAACAGCGTCAGCTTCAGAGCCTGACAGGTTGCTAGTCCGAGGGGGCAGGTACAGGCAGGGCAGGCAGGGACAGGCAGGAGAAGCAAGAACAAGCAGGGCAGGTACGGGCACGTCGGACTAGCACAGACAAGCATGGGCAGGAGCCGCCGTGGCCGGGCAGGACGTGCCATGGCGGGGCACTCACGGGAGCACCTGACGCCCACCCATCCAAACGGGGTTTGGGCGATAAAACACGTCCGATCTGGGAACCTGCCCCCAGTTCAGTTCCACTGAACGCCGCGGCTACGGCAGGGGCAGGACACGGTGCTAGTGTCACCTCTGCTCCTCGGGGCCGCGCACACCAGGAGCTCTCACCAGGGCGGCTGTTCGGCAAATTCAGGCTCTGGGTTGCGTTGGGAGGGTGCCGTGGAGTCCTTTTTTCTTTCTCCCGCACCCCATGGGACCTACGTGCTGATTCCCCCTGCTTGCACTTAGCGCTGCCTTCTCCCCTGCATCTGTCCCCCCCAGTTTCCATACCAACGCTCTAAAAACAGCACCCTGCAAAATGCACCGGCCCCGCTGACCTGCGTGGCCCTGTGGACGAAGACGCTCCGGGACGGGGTCGGAGAGAAGAGTCCCAGTTTTGGCAGCTCGTCCCAGGGCAGAGGCGGGAAGAGAGCTCTACCCTCCCCCCCCCCCCCCCAAAAAAAAAAAAAAAGAAAAAAAAATCCCTCTCTATTTCAACGGTTTGGGTTTGGTCTCTGCTCTCTTTCCCCTGCCCGCCGAGAAGCGAGCTGCCGAGCTGGACTCGCTTTGCGCCGCCACGCAAGCCCGGCCGCCGCGCATTCACGCTCACCGCCTTC